AACATATTTTGAGGCGACTTAGGCCCTGTCAAATGCTTAGGTCAGTGGAACCACTGAGTATGTAATCTCTTCAGACGACAAAAAGAATGTCGGGATTGCTTTCATGAGGACCACCAAACGTTGCAGCACTGGTCAAAGCAAATTGAAAGACTGCAAGCTGCTTTGACGAAATGCATTGAGAATAAACAGTTACTCCACTCAAAAACAGATTTAATTCTTCCACCACCCACTTCCTCATTCTATTCCCTAATAAGGTCAAATAAAGCGGCACTCGGCCTAACAAAAAAAAACAACAACGATATACCTGATAATAACATCATCTCTGGTAGCACTCTACCAAAGATAATAAATAAAACAAAGCATTTGGAAAGGATATTAAAAAGTTACTGCGCATGGAGCACTTATTAAAGACTGCAACAAAATAAACCGGTAAATGAAATATAAAATAATAGAATGTAGTGAACAAAGAGCTCAGTAAATGAAAGAAAAGCAAATCATCATAATTATCCAACGACAGAGTTCGGCTGATCAGGGCAGAAAGAATTACTACCATGCAAATCACAATTAATAAAATAATTGCAACGAATGTAAAATTCGATTATCAAAATCAGTTCAATTTTTCATTTCAAAAAGTAATAGGAAAATAACAATGAGAGATTACTGTGCAGATGTAAATGAAAAAGATGTAGCACATAAGGTCGATTAGAAAGGTAAGGCCTAGATGAGCAGGTTGCATGTTAACGATGTCACAATTTCATCGGAATTCGCCAATTTCCGAGGAAATTATAAAAACCAACGTAAACCACGGTCTGATCTTTAACCCCAAAAATATTCAAAAAAAGATTAAAAAAATCTAGGCAGTAGCAAGGAATAAAAAGAACGACGGGAAACAAGAACACAAATGTACAAATGCAGAAGCAGTGAAAGGGGTAGCAGTGGATTTACACTACCTCTGCACCAAATGCATAATTTGGCGTATTATTTGCTCAAATTGAGGTATAACTTGTTG